CGGGGAGGGTCCGTGCAGCTAAGGGGCTGTTTTTAATTTCAAGGTTGTTTGGTTTTTGGTGGGGTTTTTTTGTGTTGATTTTATTTTCTGGTTGTGTGTTGTTTTTGGGTGGGTTTTTTGGGTTTTTTTTTCCTAACACGAACAGACTAAATTTGACCCCCCCGGCGCTCGCAGGTCAGGAAGTGGCTGAACGGGGAGACAGCAAAGCGAAACCACCCACCTCTTGGGGCCACGTGAGCCGGCGGTGGGAAGGGGGATAGGGTCGAGGGACCCTCCATCCCACCCCGGTTGCAGGGTGCCAGCACCCACTGCAGCCCAGCACAGGGCTGTGACACCCCCCGTCCCCCCATGACATCCCCCTGCCACTACAGGATCCCAATTCTTCCTCCTCTTGTTGCCCCCAGCACTGCTCACCCCAAAACCCTGTTGGGGTGCTCTGGTGCCACCCTAGCCAGGTGCAGAACCATGGGTGGCATCAAGATGCCCCCAAAGGGACCCTAACACCCAACCTCTGCACCCCAATTTGTGTGCAGACCTGGGCCAGCTCAGTCCCTGCTCTCCCCAAAACCATTGGGCAAGAGCTGAGCTGGGAACCCAGCAGGGTTGGGAGCTCAGGGCTGCTGATCCCTGGGGACAACAGGCACCCTGGGACCCCCCAAAGCCTGGCCAGACCCCCCTCCCCAGCAGAGATGCACCCCAGAGGTGTAGGCTGGGGACAGGCCAGCCCTGAGCTCCCCTGATGCCCCAGCTTGTCCCGCTTCCCCCTCTTCGAGCACGTTGCCATTTACCATCTTGCTCAGCTGCTATATTTAGCTGATCAAAACTAATTTTAATTTATGGAAGGAAATTGTGCTGCTGTTCCCACGGCCCTGCTGCCACTCTGTGTCCCGAGGCCCACGCATGACACCAAGGTACAGGGGGTGCTGAGACCACCCCAGCCCCACTCCCGGGAAAAGCCCTGGGGAAAAAACAAAGGTTTTCCCAACACTTCCTGCTGCCTGTTCAGGGCTGGGGCTGCTCCTGCCCTCCCAGCACCGACACCTGCAGACCAGCATTGGGTCATGGTATTCCCAGGTACAGGGCTGGGATCAGCCTGCCCATCCTCATCCCACCATCTTTCATCTGGGCTGCAGAAACAGCAGCTGTTCCAGGCAGGCTCTGGTTGCAGCTGAGTGTGGGTCTGGGGGTGCTCACCCAGCTACGAGCCTCCCCACGTCCCTGCACAGCCTCATCCTGGGGGGAGGTGACTTTTAAAAGCTCCAGGGTGCTGGGGACAGAAGGATGTGGGGACATGAAACACTGGCAGAGCAGTGCTGAAGGGGAGGTCACAGGGTGGTACCAACACTCATGGGGTGATGCTGTGGGGGCCCCAGGGGGTCCCAGCACCCATGGGGTGATGCTGTGGGGGTCCCAGGAGGGGACTGGCTTCCCCTGGGTGATGCTGCAGGGGCCTTAACCCAGAATAGCAGGCAGAGGTGGGAGGTAAGAGGAAGCAGCAGCAGCAGCACCATCGGGCCGGGGGAGCTGGGGACCCACCATGGCCACAGCACGGTCACAGTGAGCTGGGCTGGGGGGGTGGGGTGGCTGGTCCCCCCCACCAGGGAAACTGCCCGAGGCCTCGTGCAACACGCAGGGTGGTTTCATCAGCCGCCTCCCCGAGCAGCTCATTACAGCTCCGCTCCTCCCGGGACATCGCCCCGGCCCCTGCGGCCACGTGGGACCTGCAGGGACATGTGCAGCCCTGGCCAGGTCACCACTGCCACCAGCACCCACCATGTGCTGGGGTCTGGCAGGACAGGCAGGGGCTGGGCCCGGGGGGGGGGATGCTTTGGGAGCAGGGTACAGGGTGTGTCAGCTCACTGCTCCATGGACCCCGTCCCTCGGCCACCGCAGTGCGGCAGGACATGGGCACTGGTTCCCCCAGGACAGGTATTAGGGGCAGGGAGGGGAAGGTGGGACATTGACTTTGGATTTTAAGTGTCACTCAGGGCAACAAGGGGATCAGCAGCGTCGCGGCTG